GTTTGCTCCTCTCCTTGAAAAGCAAAAGAAAAACTCCCTCATTGGTACACAATCCCCCCTGCACCTCCCCAAGCCCCACCCCCACCCCCAAATATAATACACTCTGCAACCCTCATTGTGTACTCCTACGATAAAAATAATGCCCTAAAATATAATACTTATAGATTATTCTCTCCCCCATAGACTTCAATGCCGTAAACATATTGCATCCAGTTTTTCTCAGTCTTACCCCCATCCCAATGCCGAGGCTATCATTCTTTATGGAAGGATTATTCTGTCTCAGATTAACTAGTGAATTAATTTTTCTACCACAGACTGACTGGTTGAATTAAAATCTTTATGCCAGCTGCCTAACACGTTTGAAATGAATAAAACGTCATCAGAAAAACAAAATGGAATGCATGAAAATTATCATTCTAGGCATTAGTAAACTGAGATGGACTGGCACAGGCCACTTTGATTCAGACAATCAAATGATCTATTATGCTGGGAATGGAAAACTGAGGAAGAATGGTGGTGCATTCATAGTGAAAAAGATAATGTCAATATTGACCTCGAGTATATCCCACCAGAATTTAAAGACTGTCTCAGGAACAGGCTTGAGGGTTTGAGCACTAATGAGTGAAGACCAGATGAGCTGGGGGAGGATATCAAGAATATCATCCTTAGGGAGTTCTGGTGGCCTAGTGGCAAGAAGCTGCATTGCAATCCCGTAGGCATGTGGTTCAAATCCACCAGATGCTCTGCAGGAGGAGTGGCAATCTTTTCCTATACCAGTCGGATCTGATTTGACAGTGCATAACAACAACAACAATAACAAAAAGAATATCATCCATGAAGAACTAAAAACTGTCATTACAAAGACAGAAGAGAAAGAAAAGTCTGAGATGGAGGTCAAAAGAGACTCTCAATATTGCACTGGAGCACCAAGAACCCAAAACAAAGGGAAGAAATCAAGAAGTTAAGAAGCTGAACAGAAGATTTCAAAGGGAAGCTTGGGAAGATAAAAAAAAAAGTATTGTTAGAAATGTGCAAGGAGCTGGAGTCAGAAAATCAAAAGGAACAAACTCATTTAGCATCTCTTAAGTTGAAGAAACTGAAGAATAAATTTAAGCCTTGAGTTGCACTATTAAGGATGCTAAGATAGAATGCTGAACAACCCAAAAATTGTCAAAAGAAGATGGAAGGAGTACATAGAGGCACTATACCAAAAAGAATTGGCCAACACAGAATTTCATGAAACAACAGATGATCAAGAGGCAATGGTGATGAAGGAAGGAAATTCAATCCGCTCTGAAGGAATTGGCAAAAAAATAAAGTTCCAGGAATTGATGAAATACCAGTTGACATATTTTAGCAAACAGATTTTGCCCTGGATGTGCTCAGCAATTTTTGCCAAGAAATCTGGAGGACAACTATCTGGCCAAA